GTACTGCTGTAATTCCCAATTAAAATTGGCTGCTAACAAGATCCTCACAGTGTTCATTTTTGCAACTAGAGCGAAGGTCTCTTGGTAATCAACTCCATATGTCTGAGTGTACCCCTTAGCAACTAGCCTTGCTTTGTAGCGCCCTAATGATCCATCAGCCTTATATTTCAAGGTAAAAACCCACTTACACCCTATTGACTTCTTTTCTTTTGGTAGATCAACCACCTCCCATGTCCCATTTTTTTCCAATGCGTCCATCTCAACTGTCATTGCTTTCCTCCATTCTTCATTGGATAATGCCTCAGATAAAGTGTTTGGAATAGAGATTTCATTTAGACTCGTGAGAAAACTCCTATGGGCTGGTGAGAATTTCTTTAAGGATACATAATGAGATAGAGGGTATAATGGTCGTTTGGTACACTCTCGAGTTCCTTTCCTCACGGCTATGGGCAAATCTTGGTCAATTATTTGAGGTCCAGGGAGCTGGTGTTCTATAAGTGGAGTAAGTTCAGATACCGTTACCTCATTCTCAGGAGTCAGGTTGGAGGTTTGGGCTTGCACCGGATCAGGAGCTGGACATTGCTTCCTCGAGTACACCTTCCCTTTCCCATACTGTACGTGATCAAGAGTTATATTATCCTTCACAGGAGACACAACAGGAGACATAGGTGACAAAAAAGGAGATTCAGGCTCAGGTACTGAGTTGGATTGAGTGTTTGATACAGGTAAGAGAGATGGTGAACGAGGCGAAGACGGTAAAGCGAGCTGGAAAAAATCCTTATCTTCCATGATAGACGACTCCCCCTGAAGATAAGGTTCAGTAAAATGCGGTTTCCCTTCCGCAAATGTGACATCAGCTGAGATATAAAGTTTCCTGGTAGGAGGATGAAAACATTTGTAACCTTTTTGTGTGGACGAGTATCCTACAAACACACACTTAATGGTTCTAGGATCTAATTTGCCCCGGTTGTTGCTATGGACATGAACAAATGAAGTGCACCCAAATATCCTAGGGGTAAGGTTGTTTGTGGCACTAAGGTCGGGGTAGAATTTAGAAAGGGCTTCCATTGGACTTCTTGACCCTAAAACCCGTGAAGGAAGTCTGTTTATGATGTAGGCAGATGTAAGTACTGCTTCCCCCCAATAGTGTTTTGGTACATTTTGATGAAACAAGAGTGCTCTAGTAGTGTTTAGGAGATGACCATTTTTCCTTTTGGCTATTCCGTTTTGTTGTGGAGTATTAATGCAAGATGACTCATGAATAATTCCTTCCTTTTGAAAGAAGGGTGACAAGACTTGATTGAAGTAATCCCTCGCATTATCAGACCTAAACCTCTTTATTTTGGTACCAAACTGATTGCGGATCATTGTATGGAAATTGAGAAAGATATTACTCACATCTGATTTGTTTTTGAGTAAAAATATCCAAGAGACTTTAGTGCAATCATTGATAAAGAACACAAACCACCGTGAACCAGAAACATTTGGGATTGTGGAGGGTCCACATATATCACTGTGAATTAAATAGAAAGGGGAGGAACTTCTTTTATTGCTAATGGGAAAAGCTACACGAGTGTGTTTTGCATATTCACAAATATCACAATGAAATGTCCCAATATTTAATCCCTTAAACAAAGAAGGAAACATGATTTTTAGAATTGCAAAAGAAGGATGTACAAGACGAAAATGATGCAACCATATGACATCTTTATTGGAAGAAGAGAGAAACGAAGAGGATAAATTTGTCTTGATCATACTTGGAAGGCTCAGTGTCTCAAGGTAGTAGAGTCCTTCCTTTTCCTTAGCACGTCCAATCCTCCTCCCCGAATCCTGGTCCTGAAATTCACAGTAAGAGGGATAAAACATAACATGACAATGTAAGTCTCTAGTAAGCTTTTGAATGGACACAAGGTTAGCGGACAATTTAGGAACATGTAGAACATTTTTAAGAACAAGACTAGGGGTGATATGGATATCTCCTACACCAGCAACCGTGGTTGTGGTTCCATCAGCAACAATGATTTTTCTATTACTAGGACATGGGGTATAAGTGCTGAACTGGTTTGAGGCATGTGTCATGTGGTCTGTGGCTCCCGAGTCTATGATCCACGAATTCACAAACAATTTATTAGAAACATTTAATCCAAGGGAGAATAAAGACTCACATGAGAGGGCTAAAGAACAAGCACTAGAAGATGGTTTCTCAAGGTTCCCAGTAGGTTTCTTAACTTCTCTATTTCTTCACTGTCGAATCCTCCATATTCTTTTGCCTGGTCCTGACCCACCTGTGAGGTCATATGGGCTTGTCCTTGTTGTCGTTGATGCTGTCGTCCTTTGTTTCCCCATTCTCGGTTGGATGTGGGTGGTTTCCCGTGTAATTTCCAGCAACGATCCCTGGTATGTCGCGACTTTTTACAGTATGTACACCAGATATTATCTCGGTTTGTCCCCTTTGATGATTCCGCCTTTCCATGTTCAGCATTTTGCGGTTGTTCTAGAGTGAAACCCCGCTTCTTGTCACTAGAGACTACGAGTGCTGAGCTGTCAATCGACTGAGGTTCAAGCATGATTCCTCTCCGATTCTCTTCAGCCCGAATCAATGAAATCACCTCATTAAGAGATGGTACCTCCTCCTTGCCCAAAATTTGAATTCTGACTTGATCAAATTCAGAGTTTAGGCCAGCGAGAAAATCGTAAACTCGATCTTTTTCAATGAAATTTTTGATAATTATAGCGCATTCGCTGCATTTCAAATCAATCACCCGGTAGTAATCCAGTTCTTGCCACTTGTTTTGCGGAAAATTGGCATACTCAGTCACGGACTTGTTCTCCCTGTTTTGTAGACACTGTCTTTGTCTTGATCTCGTATACTTGCGCCGCATCACGAACCTTGGAGTAAGTTTGGTTGAGAGCATCCCAGATGGCCTTCGCAGTTGGTAGGAACATGCATGTATCGCTGATTTCGGGTGTCATGGAATTCCACAACCAGGATATGACCATTGAGTCCTCCTCGTCCCACGCTTCGAAACCTGCATCACCTTTCTTTGGTCCTGTTCCCAGCAAGTGACTTAATTTCCCTTTTCCTTTCAGAAAAGTTCGAACCATTTGAGACCATTTCAAGTAGTTTCTTCCATTAAGTCGGTACGCCGGTTGAATATTCTGCAGTTCACTTGTGGAGCGCTGAACCTGCTCTTCCTTGGGTGATTGGGAACGTTGAACAGTAGTTTCTGACATTCTTCAACAATCGGCTATGAAGGCCGGACAGATTGGTTATGCGAAAATTGGCAAAAGAAATTGCCAGAGAATGACTGCAATGAAGGCAAGTCATAGAGAAAATTGGCTATGAAGGCCTGAACAGAAGAAAAAAAACTGCTGATTTTTTTTTTTTTTTTCAGGAAATCCAAGCCTTACGGCTCTAATACCATGTGGTGAAATGAATTCAATTATATTGAATCTGTTAATATTTTTACAAGAGCCTCTGTTGGGCTATATATAAGGAATTACAGAGAGAAAAATCAGCAACTAACTAAAATTTGAAAACCCTATAATCAGGAATCCCTGATTCTCTATCAATCAAATCCCTAAACTCTAGGAAACAAATATTTACACAAATCCCTAAACTCTAGGAAACAAATATTTACACAATTCTAGTGCTAACCTATCACTAATCGAGGAGACTAACTCGTATTTTACCACAATAATTGCTTTATAAATTTATAATTTGATTTAATTAAATTTGAGGTGGTGTTAAGCTTCCACTGAAATTCTCCTCCCTAACTTACCGACCCCCACACAGATGTAAAAAAGAAAAATATAATAGTAAAGAATTCAATTGATGGCAACTATTAAACCTCTTGAACAATATGGATTGTCTCCATTGTAGAGTGCATAGATTGAGGTGAACTGTTCTTGCTAACCAATTAACAAACTTAATCTGATATTTAAAACTTAAACTACCTTTAACTAAATTTCAAATTTCAACTAACTACTAGGCATGTAAATCATGATGATGCAGAATATGACACATAACAAATATAAACATCCGCACAGGAATACACAATTTTTACGTGGAAATCCCATAGGGAAAAACCACGGGACCTAATCCAGGCATATTAACTTCACTATGGAGGTATTATAACTAGGTTAACCAGACTCTAATTTAAGAATCCTCTAGTTAACTCTGATTCTGATTGACGTCAGATGTTTTCTTCGAATTGTGTTGTTGCTAGTCAATGAATCCGCTTACACAGCCATCTTTTCCTCAAGTACTTTGATCCCCATTGATCCTTGCGGTGTTGATATCCTTGTAGCTAAATGATTGTTGATGTTTATCACTCAAAACACACTCGGTCTATATGCATGGACAATGAATGAAAGAAACAAAGCCTATAATTTGATTTCTATAATGCACTCTAAATTGCCTCACAAAATTTGATGAATATATGCTTTATTTGCTTGTTATCTGCTTGCATAAGGTTTTTGAAAACATGGTAAGATCATGGAGGCTGAATGAGATTTTGGTTATTATAGTTCAAAACCTGTTTGGGAACTCCTTTTCCGCATGTTATTCTTGATCCAAAGTAAGTTTGATCATTTGAAATTGGTCCTGTAGGTTTCGGTTGATCCATTGATCGATAGATTCCCATGTATTTTTTTATTTGAGGATGTCGAAAATAGACAATTTCTAAAACAGTTTTATGCATTCTAGAACAAGATTTTATAAATCAAAACATGCAATTGGAAAAATCTTAACATGCTTAAACAATTCAATGAATACACACGGACTCTAATTTTTGGTGCATGATTGGGTGTTGATTTACCTTTTTGCTCTTGCTTGAATCATTGATTTTCCAATTTTTCCTTGGACAAGGGTAACTCAACTAACTAAACAATGATTAAAAACTAAAATGAACATATAGACTTTAGTTTTCAACAAAAAATTCCCACTAAGTCCCATTGACATCTTATTAGTGTTCCTTTTCAAATTTTAATTATTGCAGTCGCAGCTGACAGATTTTCGATCATTTGAAGGGCAAGATATGTACACCGGGGAGAAGATTGTTCCTATCAAGGTTGGTTTGTCAAATTTATCACGTGATGTTAATTATTTATCGAATTTCTTTACTTACTAGTTTTTTTTTTGGTCACATTTCCTATTTCATTGTCAATATTAACATATAAATAGATGATATTTTACTTTCTTCTTCTTTACCCCAGCTTGATCTTCGAGTGAATCATACTCTCATTAGGGACCAGTTTTTATGGGTAAGTTTGATTAGAGAATGGGTGTTTATTATGATGGGAAATAGGGCACTTGAATTTAATAATGAATATATGATGCTTTGCGTTTTATTATGTTCTTTTTTGTTCACTGATATAACGTGTTTTGAATTAAATGAATTTCAGGACTTGAACAACTTTGATAGTGATCCTGAAGAGTTTGCAAGAACCTTCTGCAGAGATATGGGTGTTGAAGACCCTGAAGTTGGGGTAAGTTAATAAAATCATATCATTTGAAAACAATCAAGATTGTTGTGTTGATTCAGTAGGTATTTGTGTATACTGAACATTGCAAGGCAGCAATCAGCATATCCTTCTGGCAACAGAAGAGACAAACAAAAAGATCAAAGCAATAAAAATATATGCTATCACTTTACATGCTGAACTAGGATTTTGGTTGCCTTGTTTTGTGGTAGATGGTATGCATTTTTGGAGGTCATGCTGAGTAAACAAAATTTGTTTTAAATGATTCCTTTTTAAGTAGTTCCCCTAACCAAACTAGATATGTTTATTTTTGGTCACAACTTGCACTGTATTCCATGTTATTTCACCAATATGTAGTTTCAGTCAGTAGCTTACCTAATGACAGTGAACTTTTTGCCTGGTGGTCGTTTTATTGAGTATAATTGTGTATGCTTAAGAAAAAAAAAACGAATGCAACTGTGCAAAACTTTGCTTCCACTTGTTGAGATCTCACCCTAACTTGGCTTTTGAAGGACTTTCATTTGATACATTTTTCATGTTGCTAGTTTGTACCTCTATGCTTTTACTAAAAAATAAAAATAAAAATTTCAATTTTTCCTTTGCACACGAAAGAAATCAATTTCTGAAGGTCATTGAAATGTTAACTTTAAAGTCAAACTGGTTAAAGGGGCAGAGCATGAGCCTCACCAACCATCGTTGTTGTCACCATCATCTCATTCTCTCTGCTTTGTGTGTGCACGTGCGCCTGCACGTCTCACTGTTTTTGCGTTTTGGAATATATATTTCCATTTTGTGTGCCTTTCTTGAATTTTCTATTCCCTATGTGCTTAATGTGAAAATGCAAGAGTAGAGAGAGAGATATAGAGATGATACAGTGAGAGAGTGCAAAGATGGAGGCGCTGCCTCTGTATATTTTATTCATCAATTCAACCCTAAACATAAAAGGGTAAATATACAATACAAGAAAGGCCTATTTGCATAATGGCCACAAACCCTATATCTAAATACAATCTGACCCCAACATAAATATATATTTACATATAAATATTTCGAACACTCCCCCTCAAGCTGGAGAATATATATCATATAATCCCAGCTTGGAACAAATCGCTTTTAACCAATTATGACCAAGAGTCTTAGTAAACATATCAGCTAATTGATCTTCAGACTTCACAAATGGAGTAGAAATGTTCCCGCTCAATATTTTATCTCGAGTGAAGTGATAATCAACTTCAATATGCTTGGTTCTCGAGTGAAATACCGGATTGGATGCAATGTGAACAACTGCTTGGTTATCACAGAACAATGGAATATGAGTCTTGACTATTAACCCAAGTTCCTCAAGAAAGTGTTGTATCCATGTTAACTCACTAGAGGTATGGGCCATCGCCCTGTACACTGCTTCAACGCTAGACCGTGCTACCATTGTTTGCTTTTTACTTTTCCATGTAACAAGATTTCCACCAACAAATGTGCCGTAGCCTGTAGTAGATCTCCTATCTGAGGAAGAACCAACCCAGTCAGCATCTGTGAAACCTTCTACCCTAAGATGTCCATTTGGTTTATATAGCAACCCAAAACCTGGAGCTTGCTTGAGGTATCGGATAATCCGAAGAAGTGCATTCCAATGTGGCATCCTAGGAGATCCCATGAACTGACTTACAACACTAACTGCATATGAGATATTTGGTCAAGTGATAGTAAGATAAATTAATTTCCCAACAAGCCGTCGATATCTGCCAGAATCATCAAATAGATTACCCTTATCTGACAAGAGTTTTGTATTTGGATCCATAAGAGCATTAACAGGACGACCACCCAACATACCTGTTTCTTCTAATAAATCCAACACTTACACCTTCCGTGGATCTAGCAACTTCAATATCCAAGAAATATCTGAGTTGACCCAAGTCTTTAGTGTGGAACTGATTTTGTAGAAACAATTTCAATTTAACAATACCTTCAGAATCATCACCTGTGATCACAATGTCATCTACATATACCACAAGGAAAATGAAACCAGCTTTAGTGCGCTGGTGAAACACTGAATGATCTGTCTGACATCTCTTAAGACCAAATGCTAATGCTGCCGCAGAGAACTTTCCAAACCAAGCCCTTGGAGATTGCTTCAATCCATACAGGGCCTTCTAAGGCGACAAACGGTATGACGATACTCCCCCTGAGCAACAAACCTAGGTGGTTGCTCCATATAAACTTCTTCAACTAAGTCGCCATGTAAGAAAGCATTTTTCACATCTAGTTGAAACAACGGCCAGTTACGATTAACAACAATGGAAATAAGGACCCGTATAGAAGAAATCTTTGCAACAGGGGAAAAAGTCTCATCATAATCAACACCATAAGTCTGGGTGTACCCCTTTGCAACAAGACGAGCTTTCAAACGCTCAATAGAACCATCGTGGAGATATTTGACAGTGTAGACCCACCTACAACCAACCGGTTTGGAACCAGGAGATAAGGGAACAAGATCCCATGTCCCATTATGATGAAGAGCATCCATTTCGTTGATCATGGCTTGTCGCCAACCAGGATGAGAAAGAGCATCCTGCAAAGTCTTGGGAACAAGTATAGTGGACAGTTTGGATAAAAAACAAGATAAAGTGGGTGAAAGATGATTATATGAGACAAAGTTAGAAATAGGATGTGCAGTAACACAAGATCGAGTACCTTTGCGTAAGGCAATAGGAAGATCATCAGCAGCAATAGGAGCCTCAATAGAAGTAGACAATTGGGGGGCTGCTACTCGTGGTCGTCTACTATACACTTGAAGTGGCGGTGACACTGGAAGAGGTTGTGGTGTGACAGACTCTAATGAAGTAGACACAACCGGTAGTGGAAGCAACAATTCCGTACCTAAAGATGAACCACGGGCAGAGAAATAAGGAGTGTCCTTAAAAAAGGTAACATCCATACACACAAAAGCACAATGAGTGTTAGGGTTCCAACATTTATAACCTTTTTGAGTTCGAGAGTACCCAATAAAGACACATTTAATGGCACGAGGAGACAATTTATCAGTGCTAGGACGTAAGATGTGAGCAAAGCACACACACCCAAAAACACGAGGCGTAAATGCAAATAATGGTTCAGTAGGAAAAACAACAGAATAAGGGCATTTCCAGTTAAAAACGGAAGATGGCATACGATTAATTAAATAGCAAGTAGTTAAAACTGCATCGCCCCAAAATGGCTTTGGAAGATGCATATGGATCATTAAAGTCCGAGCTATTTCAATTAAATGCCTATTTTTCGGTTCTACGCCATTTTGTTTAGTATAAGAACAAGAAGTTTGGTGCAAAATACCACGAGACTCACAAAATGTAGAAATAACACCTTTGACATATTCCATAGCATTATCAGATTGGAGAATTTTTATAACACAGCCAAATTGGACCTCAATTTCTTTAACAAATAATTGAAATATGGAAAAGAGTTCAGACCGGTCTTTCATTAAAAAGAGCCAAGTCATCCTTGAATAGTCGTCAACAAAGGTAACAAAATATGAAAAACCTGAATTACTCACATGACCCCAAATGTCAGTATGTACCAATTCAATTAAAGAAGACTGGCGGTTAGCAACTCGGGGAGGAAACGAGACTTTATGGTGCTTGCCTAATTGACACGACTCACATTCTAAAGTAGACACTGACCCAAGAGAAGGAACGACAGACTTTTAAGTACCTTAAGGATGGATGACCCAATCGATAATGCCACTGGTGGGCATTGGCAGAGACCTGTGAATGGCTGGCAGTACCACCAGTAGGCAACTCACAATCCAAGTAATGGAGACCATTTTTCGCAATGCCTTCACCAATTGTCTTCTTTGTTTGAGATCCTGAAAGAGACAAAATGAGGGGTAAAAGGTCACGGAACAGTTGAGTGCCTCAGTAATCTTACTCATAGATAATAAATTGAAAGGAAACTGAGGAACAAATTGCACATGAGATAACGAGATGGAAGGCGTTAATTGAAGTGTACCCTGTCCAATAATTGGACGAGTCCTGCCATCGGCTAAAGTAACAAAAGAAGGAGAATTAAACTTTTGAAAAGCAGAAAATAGAGATTGATTACCTGTTATATAGGTAGATGCCCCAGAGTCAAGAATCCAAGAGGAAGAGGAAGACTGGAATTCCGAAAAACACACAACATTACCTGTTTGGGCAAAGTTGGCAACATTGTCAAGAGATGTGGGTTGTGTGGAATGGGCTAAAGCATGGAACTCGGCTCGGGATATTGCGACGTTGTCATTAGGCAGCAATACAGAAGCCTTAGGAGGTGAATTGCCGTGGCAAAGAGAGGGATAAAAAGAGTCTGACATGATGAACCGAGGAGAAAAAAAAACTTACTGTCCCGAGAAGAAATAGAGTGCACCGGATCCCAAAACGGGTCAGATCCCAAAACCGGGTTGAACCAGAACCGGATCTCTGCAAACTTGGTTTTAGTAAACCAAGGTTGGGATAACTTTACGCCTGCAACCAAACACCACCCAACCACTTCTTCTTCTTCAACGAAAGCTGCAACTTCTGGCCAGAAACAAAAGAAACGAGTCGGCAGCCATTGACCAACAAATGAGTAGCGAAGCTGGGGACACAACATAGGGCAACGACTGCAAGGGAACTCTAGCAATAGCAAAGGATGAGTTCACGACACGAAGAAACAGATTGGAAATTTCACGATCTGACAGAAATTTCAAGGGCTGGGCAAACCTAAATCAGACGGTGATCGATTTCGTCGGCATCAAACCATGACGCCGCTGCTGCTGCTCTCGGGGTTCTTGAGAGGCGACGGTGGCGAATCTTGTGCACAGTAATCGCGAACCAGCTGGCGATGAAACTCTGCAACTTCACTTTCGTAGTGATAATGAAGTCAACGGCAACAGCACTAACGAGTATCACCGACAAAGCAACAGAGGAACAATTACTCCAATTAAAACTTGACGGCCGCAACTGATTCTCGAAGCTAGTACAAACCCTAGCGACCGATTATGCAACTCGCAACAGCAACGGCACTATTCGGACCGATGACGCTCTGATACCATGTGAAAATGCAAGAGTAGAGAGAGAGATATAGAGATGTACAGTGAGAGAGTGCTAAGATGGAGGCACTGCCTCTGTATATTTCATTCATCAATTCAACCCTAAACATAAAAGGGGTAAATATACAATACAAGAAAGGCCTATTTGCATAATGGCCACAAACCCTATATCTAAATACAATCTGACCCCAACATAAATATATATTTACATATAAATATTCTAACACTTATCATTTGAATGTCTCTATCAACTATTGACTTGCAAATTAAATATCAATTGGTATTGACGCGGACGAAACCTTGTCTCTGCAGCCTGCAATTGCCTTTGCGATCAGGGAACAACTTTATGAGGTAAGTATCTTACTGCATAGATGAACTTTGGTCGTCATAAATTTATGTTCCCTTAGTAGTCTTTTATTTTGTGTGAATATCATGAGAAATTGTTATTTTACTTTCCTTTACTCCTTTTTAGTATTTTATTTTCTAGATTGCAATTCAAAGCGTAGCTTCAGCAAGGGAAGCCAGAATAAGCAAGAAGGGTCGCAGAGGGACTGAACATGCACCTGCCAGGTTTGTTTTCTTTGTTCTTTTCTGTGGAAAGAGTGTCATCTGATAAGATAAATATAGATGTAAATAAATGTCTAGTATTCATTGTTGCTTCTCGCTAATAATATTGTGCATATTCTCTCTCTCTCAGTAAGACTGGTGGAATTGCTGTGGATTTGATGAAGTTATTTGGTCACAGATCAAGTGTCATTCGGTAAGACTGCATTTTCTCCCATTTTGTTATGGTTTTGCGTTGGCTTGCATAGGCAACATGTGTTTATTGTTGACCTTTGGGGAGGTCAGTGAGTATGAACCCCTTTAGAGATCATTGATAATTTAGTATCATCAAGGAGGTATACTGGTCTAAAAAGAAAAAGAAAAAAAAAAAGTAACTTTAGAATCAGTCATTGATATAAGCTGGAAACCTGTAAATTGTCTTCCCAAATGGTTAATACTTATTTTGATTTGTATATAATTCATTCAACGAGGAAGTAAAAACTGGTAATCTCTTTGTTTCCCTTCAGAAAAAGAAAGGAGTGGGATGTATATGAACCCATTGTCGATCTTCTGTCAAGTGAGGAAGTGGATGCTCTTGAAGCAAGAGAAGAGAGGAATGCTCGATGAAGTGGAGCAGCTGTTCATGTAAGATGTACTTAAAGGTTTCTAAAGGAGCTGATACCTGTCGTCCTGTAGTTGCTTTGAAATTAGTTCATTTTTGCTTCCATTTTTAAAAAACCAAAAGTAAAATCTATTATGTTGTTTATATTGATTTTTCACATAATTGCTGTTTGCTGATAAATGATTATACCAGACAAGAAATAAAATTTTCATCCTTACGAAACTTTAACTTAATAAAAGAAAAAACTACAACCCTAAATAAAAACAGGAGAATAAACCATCAAAAGGGTGTGTTCCCAATCATTTATTAGGTTGTCAACCAGAACTTTTAGGGAAGTGTATCTAATTTAATTTTCCAAAAATAATTTCAAGAATTCTGAAAAAGTTTTCAATATTTCTGAAAGCATAAATTGTTTTTCAAAGAATTGAAATAGATGTTTTCTAAAAATGTTTTATATTTTGTTTCTTTATCTTTCGTAATAAAAGTCAAGTAAATGTGTTTCAAAACTATTTTATATTAAAATAATGGGTAAAGTACAAAAAAATCCCTTTCTATATAAAAAAAAATGTGCAAAAAACGCTCTTGCTACGTAGCACGTGCATATAAATCCCTAACATTTGAAAATTTGTAGCAAATTGCCTCCTAATCTTTGTTGACCATAATTTTGACCAAATAAATTCATAAAGACCCCAAAATACCCTTAAACTCTCTCTCTCACTCTCTGTGTTCTCTCTTTCTTTGCCGCGTTTGTTCCTGCCGATTTTCAGTCATTAAATCCGACAACCAAACACCACCCACGGTCGATTCCGACGAAAGGAAATCGAAGGCTGTAGCAGATTCCGCTGAGTGAGATTCCAGCGCCATGGTGGTGGTGGTGATGACACGATTCCTGCAAAAACGATTGGGCTGTAGCTGATGACACGATTTCGGCGTTGTGGTTAAATTCCGACGCCCGTAGCAGTTTAGGTATTTCAATGTGATTCACCATGAACACCCACTAAAATAGTTCAGTGACTTGTATTTTTCCGGTATGTCCTTAATAGGACCAATTACTATAGGATGGGACTTGCTACTTACCATGGGAGGTCCCTCCTCAACACTGGAAGTGATCGTGTCATCCACGTGGACACAATTGGATACTGCCATCATCCTTCAAATGTTCATCCAAACTGCCATCATCCTTAAACTCTTCACTCCCCGACCATGTTTATTTTAGATCCAATTGAGAAAAATCCCATACCAAATGGGTAGAGTTAACGATTCATGGATGTGCAGGCGATGGTATTGGTATTGATCTTTGCTGCTGTGAAGAGCGAGAATGAGAACGATATCAAGAGCGAGAACAAGAATGATAGCAAGAACTGGAATGAGACCATGTTTATTTTAGATCCAATTGAGAAAAATCCCATACCATATGGGTAGAGTTAACGATTCATGGATGTATAGGCAATGGTATTGGTAATGATCTTTGTTGCTATGAAGAGAGAATGAGAACGATATCAAGAGTGAGAACAAGAATGATAGCAAGAACTGGAATGAGAACTCCCGGAAGAGAACTCCGGGAAGACGCTTCTTTTAATGATCACTTGGCATAAGGACGTGCAAAATATTCACAGATTCTATTCAGCCATTAAATCCGGCAACCAAACACCACACAAAGATAATTCTATTTTTTCTTAAGGACATTTTAGGTATTTCAGTCTTCAATTGACAAAACGTCATTATTTTTTTTTTTTTTGCACTTTACCCTAAAATAATAAAAAACTATAGTAAGAAAACTGAATTAGACATACCCAAGGTTTGTAATCCTCATTTTAATGGTCATTTTGGGCTAGTGTACTGGAAGTCAAGGATACACACACACACACATGCGATGGACAACCTCTCTTTCAGTCTTTAGGAAACTTAATGTTAGCATTAGCATAGATTTAATTATGCATATGTTAGTATATATGATAGCCATAATTTATGAAATGACTTACCATATTAATGGAGATTTGATTTAGTTTCTTTTCTTGTAATATGAGCATGTGTTCTTATTTTATCTATAGGGAAAAAATCACATAACCCCCCTATACTATTATTTTCGTCCAAAAAGCCCCCATGACAATTAAACACCCTCTGAACTATAAAAGGTTATCACATTACTCTATTTCCGTTCAAATCCGTTAACCTGCTGTCCAAAATGGAGCACGTGACCAACACGTGCTCATCACAATTGTTTTTTTCCTGAAATACCCCCACACCTCCCCATTCCCTTTTAGTCTGTCTTTATATATATATATATATAAGCGCCTGTGTAACTGTCTTTATATATATATATATATATATAAGCGTGTGTGTGCAAGGATCCATGAAAGGGGAAGAGAGAGACACAGTCACAAACTCCTTTCCACAGCCCAATCGTCTCCGAATCCCAAATCCCTCGTCAAAAACTCCTCTCCACGGCCCAATCGCCACTAGAATCCAGACCCTTCGCCGTAGAATTTTGTCAGATTCTCGGGTCAGAGCTTGGTTGCCGGAGAATTTGTTTATAAAGGTTCCATCACCGTCTCTTTCCTTTGCTTATTTGTCACTGTTGTTCCCTGCATTTTGGTGTTGTGGAAGAAACGGAGGTGGCGTCGAAGTTCAGTACGATCACCTCTGGTGGAGGGTTCTCTTGTGGGATAGTGACGAACAACCATGTGTTGGTGTTGTAGTAAAATTGGAGCTGAGATTCAAAGCCAATTTGTGAATTTCACAATGTTGAGTTTGGTTGCTGATGAGTCTCATGCTTGTGGTGTCACAAAGTCTGGGACTTTTATCTGTAAAGGAAGATGCATCTGCACAATTTTGAAATTTAACCAAATAAACAAAAATTAGATATTATAATCTGAGACCAAAAAATAAAATTATATTACTCTTCACTTTCTTTAATTTTCTTAGAAACCAACCAAAGGAATAAGGAAAATTCTTTAAAATCAAAAAAACAAAAGGGCAAAAGTGCAAAATACCCCCTTGAAGTTTACTCCATCGAGCAAAATATTCCCTTAAAGTAAAAAAGTGAGCAACTTTGTTCTAATAGTTCTCAAATGGAGCACTTTGCCTCCCTTGCAGATGCCGGAATCATGGTGATATGTATAAGTGCAATTACATATATGCTCTCTATAATTATCATTTTAGAAAAATAAAAAAACATAAAAATACAAAGTGTCGTATATACCCTTAATAGTTTTAAAGGCATGTTTGACTAAGCCTTGGTTAGTTATATTCATTTAGGGTTAGAGATTAAGTTTTCACCCCATTATTTTACAAATATAACCTTATTACACCATTTCACCTCATTAAAATCAAGTATATTAATGTAATTTCCAATAAAACCCCAAACCCACAATCTCTCTCCATCGTACTGTCTCTCTCTCAACCGGTATTCTCTCTCTATTTTCTCACGAAACTCCATTGTCATTGTTAGATCACCGCTGCCGCCGTCGTCAACCATGGCGCAGTGAACTTGTTACCATGATCCAGACCATCGCGGTTGTCTTCAACCATGGTGCCTTGAATTAGTCGCCGTGAATCATGCAGTTGGCAAACAGCTGCTACCATAAACACACCACTGCCGTCGTTCTTTAACCCAGAGAGAAAATGAAAAAATAAAGGAAAAAAACAAGAAACAACCAAGAAAATTGATGAAAAATATCAACAATTTGGGATTTGAATTTTGAGTTTTACTGTGGGAGTTCAAGGGTTGTGAAGGAACATATGATTATGGGGTTACGGATTGGGGATTTGAGAGATACTGTATATATATATGTATGTGTGTGTGTGAATTGGGTTTGATGTATTGTTCCTCTTGGTTCAATTAGGTTCGTCGTGGGTCGGATTGGGTGGTGATTATGGTGGTAGAAGTGGTGCTGGTGATATATATATATATATATATGTATGTACATAAATCGAACTGATCTGGCGACGGCTTCCTTCATCAAAATGGTGAAAGCCCAGAAGTTTCTAGAGTGAACAAATCGAAGATTCAGATCCGGCTGCTGTTCGGCGGTCAGCTTCTTAGTCTCGACAAAGGTTATCTCTCCATTGACATTCTTGGAGACAAAAACTCAGTAGTTCACCAGTGTTAGGGATCCCGGTGAGGTTGTGGTAATTGAGGGGTTGTTTGAGTGTGTGGTAGAGGAGGAGGGAGGTGGAGGGACGCGGCGGGGCGTGGTGAACTTGGCGGTGGCGAAGGGGAAATACTGTGCTAATTTGATTTTTTCTTAATAGTTATGCTAATTTGATTTTTTCTTAAATGGAAAGAAAATTAAAGAAAAAATTAAAAAGAAAATTATCAATCTTATACTTATGCTAGTTTTCTGTTGTTTTTGTTTTTAAAAATAATAAAAACTTGTTTAAAATTAAGCTCAGCAAAGCGTTGCATTAGATATAGTTTATTTCTGCATCTTTGTTAAGTAAATAAAACTAAAAATAAAAATTTGTTCTTTATAACTTTGTGACTGTCACCTATTATTTTTAATTTATTAGAATTAAAAATTTAAGATGATTAATCATATATATTCTCTAATTATTAATGCACTTTAATTAATTATCCAGATAATATAATTCTTTTCAAATATTATACTTTTTTTCTTTTATTCTCTATTAATGTCCCAAAATAGAAAATGAAAAAAAAAAAAAAAAATTGTTCTTAATATCCTTGTGACTCACGGTCTCACCTGCTTTTTTTAATTTATTGTAATTAAAAATTTGAGACGATTTATCCTATATATTCTCCAATTATTTATGCACCTTAATTGTTTATTCAGATAATTTAATTCTTTCAAATATTATCCTTTCCCCTTTTTCCAAAATTTCCAAGTAGTAGCACAGATTTGTGAGGAATGTTAAGAAGGGAGGGAATAGATTAGTTGCAAATGGGTTTGATATAAAGTTTGAATGCAAAAGTTTTTTTTTTTTTATAGGGAAGGGGTATAATCATCGTATTGAAGGATAATTTTGGAATTAGTTAAAAAGTTTGAGTCACATGCATTACCATATTAAAGAGGATTCCGGCGTTTATAGGGGGGGTGCTCCATTTCAGAACTACTACGACTAAATTGCTCACTTTTTTTTACTTCAGGGGTATTTTGCTTGATGGAGTAAACCTCAGGGGAGTATTTTGCACTTTTGCCCAACAAAAAAAATGAAAACATAAAATTTCAAACATTAATCAAAAGGGAACATCAAAATTGAAGGGGGATAACCATACTTGTTAGGAACAATGAATTTTTCGGATCATTTTAACTTTCCCAAGAAAATTTACTCCAATTTTATTTTTTATTTATTTATTTATCTTTGATAAGTGAAAATTTACTCCAATTTTGCCGGCCACCATCATTCTTTCAGCTCCTCCGGCGATCCCTTCCGAGGAAGTGGTAATGACTCGTACTCAACCCCCACACTCTCTCTCTCTCTGAATCTGTGCATCCACCGACAATCGGTTCTGATTATCTCTAAAACATGTTTGTTATCCACTTGTACAGCCTTGACTAGTTTCAATGAATTGGACATGACAAACCACATGAATATACCTTGTGCTGTGGTGGAACGTGACATGTAAAGCCCTTGTATGGAGTAGTTGGTTTTAGATTGCTCAGATTACAGAAATGTTTGTATGTATGTACACAAACTTACAAATATTGCATTGAGATGTTAGAATTGATTATCTAATTTTTTTCATGCCAAGGATTAGCAATGATCAATTGGCTAATACGACGGAAGCCTAAAGTGATTTCTCTTTCAGCTCATTTGGCGAGGGTTCTTGGTGTGCTTCAATGAAAAATCACAGAGCACCCAACTGCAAAAATAACAATTATTTCGTATTTAAATTTCATATTATATTATGGGGGTATATTTATCATTTCATACCAACTTAATCGATTTGAACGAAAATGGAACAATGTGATGACCTTTTATAGTTATGGGGGATGTTTAATTTTCATGGGTTTTTTTTTTTTTTGGACGAAAATGATAATATATGGGGGTTATGTGATTTTTCCCCTTATTTATAAATATTAGAAATGTGTCCTTTACACAATTCTTACTTCTTCCTGTTCTTTTTCTTTTTCTTTTTTTTTTTTTGTTTTTGTTTTTTTTTGTTTTTTAACACAATCTTTATGCTAACATATGCATAATCAAATTTATGCTAATATGGTAAGTTATTCTACAAATTATGACTATCCTATGCTAACATATGCATAATTAAATATATATTAATATGATGAGTCATTCCATAAATCGTGACTATCGTATATGTATAATCAAATCTATGTTAAGTCATTCCATGTACAGTGGCTAGGAAAATGATATTTATGCGGCTCACCTATGACAAGGACACAGCAGCCTTTGCAACTCTCTCGGCAATAGAGAAGAACCAATCGATGGCAAAGGACCAAGCAATCAGTCCCAAACGAAGACACAGATCACAAAAACAGTCACAAACGGCAAGTACACAACTGGCGACAGCAGCAGAGTGGTCGTTGGTGGTCTTCGATGGGATAAACAGCACTATTAGTCACTGCAGGCTTCTCGGCGACAGGAAATTGAAAGTCGTCGGTGAAAAACTGGCAATCGACTTTGTTCCTTTCGGCGCAAACAACTCTGTTCCGAGAGAGGGATTGTTGAGGCGATCCAAATGACAACAAAGATTAGAACAATGAAGAACCGAGGCCATTAAACAGCGAAGCCCCAAACAAAGAACAACCAACAACAAGTGATGGCTCCGTCGGTGGCAAACAGCGATAGCTCGATCTCTGCAAATTTTTTTTGAATCGCAACCCAAGCTCGCCGACGCACGGCGATCTGAAATATCAAGATCGGCACCTCTTCAAAATTTGAAAGAAATCTAATGGCAGTTTAACACAACAAAATCTCTGCACCTCTTTAAGCAAATCAAGCCCACTAGTTAGTCCAGCAAAATCCCTTTTCTTTTCCCTTTTTTAGTTGTTTGTCAGCCTTACCAGCTTTATCGAAGAAATAAAAAAGAAAGTTGCTTAGGTGGGCTGTCACATCTATTCTGCCAAATCATCGGTCCATTTATGACGATCTTCTTTCCATTATCATGAAATGACAAAAGTAGACTCACTCAGAAGAAACAAAAATAAAAATATTTTGCTAATGACTATTATATATGCTAACATATGCATAATCAAATCTATATTAATATAGTAAGTCATTCCATAAATAGTGACTATTATATTTGCTAACACTTGATAATTCTTTTAATTACCCTCCAATTGAAATGACAAAAGTAGACACCCACTAAAAGGAAACAAAAATAAAAATATTTTGCTACTAAATTTGTCAATTTTATTCAGAATCAAATAAAACACTGGCAATTAGTCTCTTCTTCGCGGAGAATAAAACTAGAGATTATCATAGTTAGCTGAAATTGTGCATGTATTATAAGATATAAGCCATTTTTCAGATTTGAATTTTTAATTTTTTATCAAATAGGATCACAATTAAAAAATAAAAAATAGGTTTGTTTTTGGATATAATGTTACAATTTTTAAGATTTGATTTTTGTTTTTTTGTTGCATAAGAAACATTCTGACTCCTCTAATCTTTGTGGAACTCTAATTTATAGGTAATATAGGTTTGACTCCCTTCATGTACGACAGTCCTTGTATAAAGCAGAAGAAAATTAGGGAAAAAAAGTAAAGTCCTATACATCGCAACCCTAAACAAAACAGAAGAGGAAAGAACGAGGGGTTTCTAGGCCTGTAAAATTATTTAAGTTTGACAGAAAATCAATTAAAGTCTAAGATGGTTTAAAATTATTTAAGTTTGACAACATATTGGTACTTCTTTTTACTCAGTTCATGGTTAATCTGACCTCTTTTTTTTTATTTTTTATTTTAATTTTTATTTTTATGAAGTCATGTGTTGTGATTGTAATCTTTAGGGCTGTATCATCTGTATCCTTTATTGTTCATGTGCTCAAAAAACGTGATTTAGAATTAAGTTTAAAGAACACAGTATCTTAAAAGAACCCTAACCATCAAAACCTCAACCACAAATTCTTGTAATTATTAGTGGAATGGCATCGAAATTGGTGAGTATTTTTAGTGTAATTCAGAGAACTCTTTTTAGTGTAATTCTTGTAATTTAGATTTTTTTTTTCTCTCTTCTTCACACAAAGTACACAATAATCTCTAATTTTATTTTCTGGGAAGAAGAGACTTGCTAATTTTTTATTTGATTCCGGAGTGTTCAATTGCTAGAATTAGTTGTAAAATATTTTTTGTTTTTGTCTCCTTTAAGGGAGCGTCTACTTTTGTCATTTCAACTGGATGGTAATTGAAAGAATTATTAAGTTTCCTAAAGACAGTGAAAGGAAGGCTATCTGTCAGATTAGATCCTAAGGCCACCATTAAAATTGAGCATACAACTCTCTACCCATTAGGGAATAGTTGAACACAACTGTATATGTATATATATATATGTATATCAATTATAACATCAGTAATTCATTTTCAACTATTGATTCCTTAAAAGCTTAATCAAAAATAGGTCCAATAATGTATATCAAGTTCCAATACCAATCTAAAATTAAGTATAACAAAGTGAAAACTTGCACGCCAAATCAGGGAACAAATGTGTATATGGAGAGTTAAACCCATGTTATTGCCCTCCAAAAGGTTATGCTGTTAGAGAAAGTGCGCAACAATGTATACCAAGCTTCAACATTTCCGCAATTCAAAATCAGTGTCCTTAATTTCTGTATTGTAACTGCCTATAAATTTGCACTATATTCCGTTTATTTTGTCTTTTATATTGTCTGTTACTTCATTAGAAGGTGTAAAAATGGGGCAATATTCATAAATGCAGGAGTCTTCTCCAAGGTCAAACGATTCATATTTAATATACTATTCTTACAACTTAGAAATCTTGAAAAGACAAATTCTTAACCTCAGAAAGTGAAAACAGAAGTAAACTAGAATGAAGAACAAGTAATGAACGATGTTACGAAGGAATGAATATTTTTAAGGAATTTTTATAAATACATAGGCTTAAGGGTTCCTGTACGCCGAAATAATGTAATGAATGTGTGGTTCAAGAAAAGCCTTTTACGTAATTATCCCTATTTTTAAAAGGGTTTCTGGTTCTCACAGTCTAAATTAGGTCCAGTGTCCACATTAAAAAGCTTGGTATATCTCTTGAAATAGCCTATCCTATCGTTAACCTGGCTGTTGTTGGGCATGCCACATTCAAGTCCACCATTGATTATGTTAGTCACCAGGCCGTAGCCAGCAGTCCGATTTGCTTCCAAGTCGGCTTGTTTGAGTACGTAGCGTCCCGTCATCACGTCGTGACAGGAAGGTTTTGGGCTTTGCTTTGTCATCCAAAACCAGAGAGCCGTTTTGAAAGCAACCAAGGAATTGTTGGAAACTATTTCCGGATGTTTAAGCCCATTGAACCCCAAGGCCTTGCTTGCCGGACCATAGTTATAGTTCCTGAATATATGTGAAGCAAATAAAAAACAAAGAAAATAATTTATTATTATTTTTTTTTGTATGTGTATATATATATATATATATATATATATATATGTGTGTGTGTGTGTGTGTGTGTGTGTGTGTGTATGAATATTATTACCAAGATAGTTGAATGGGTCCTCTTCCATGGTAAGATTTGCCAGGGTAGCAAGGCCATTTCTTGTTGGTGGAGTTGCAGTAATTGCTGCCAGGATTGACTTCGTCTTTGAAGCAATAACCCCAAGCATATGGCCCGTCGGGTGCTGTTGCCCATCCTCCTGCATCACATAGATATAGTTGTGTATATATTACATCTCGCATGCACACATGTGGGTAGATGCATAGCATATACAGACATGCATGAAGTTATATATACAAGTAAACAGATGGATGGTGGGTATTATAGAGACATGGGAACAGTAAAGTACCGGTGGTTTCATGAGAAGTTTGAGCGAGAAATGCTGCAATCTCCCGCTTGCGTGTAGTTATATTTCCGGTGTTGCCAAAAGTGGGAAATCTTTTCGTGGCTTTGATGAAAGAATGATATGTATAGAAGCCCTTGGCGGGGCATGCACTGTCATCCTTGTGTGAAAAGATTGCAGTGAATAGATCTTCACTTATCAGATGATGGAGAGAGGATCTCTGAGCATGGGCTTCGAAGGTTACAGAACAAAGCAGACATGACCAAAAAGCAGAGATGAGGACCAGAAAGTGGATTGTCATCCTGGAGCCAAAATTTATGAGTGGGAGAGCCGGAAGTACGTTTTGTTTGTTCCCTTTGGTGCCTAATTATAGGAAGTAGCTTGGTCCACCTTTCCATAACTTGGAGTGAGGAAGAGGGTCGTCATTGCTTTTGCCACAGATACATATATATTTTAATACAAGCCTTGAACCTTTAATTATCTTTCCATTCTCCAAGCAACCTCCCTCCATATGTTGCTGGGCGCATGTTTTGACTTGTAATCTATACTTTATCCATATCTTGCTGGGTTATGGGATTATTTATATGACTCATTTATGCGTTTGAAATAATGAAGTTTCATCTTATTCATTTGTCTGTTTGATTCTCATGTATTGGATTGGTGGAGGGCTTGACAAACGTTAGGCACACAACCAGCCACAAGTTGTAGTATTATTATTATACTCTCATTATAGTTGAGTTTATTTTTCTTTTAGATCTAAGGATCATTGTTAAAAGTATTGACTTGGATCATTGTTAAAAGTATTGACTTGGAGATGTTTTGAATGCGTCCATGTGCAAAATCGGCTTGTAACCAGAAACGGTTTCTTATTTTCAGGTCTACATGAAGGGAGTTCCAGCCAGGTGTGTAGTTCTTTATGTGTAGAAAACTGATTGGTGGTCAGTGTCACGTGGAAATTTTCTTATTGTAGAATTTAAGTGGCCTTACTTCAGATTTCGTGGACAATATTGTTGCTTATTTTGTAACTCTCTGCGTCTAATTCGGATTTGTAAAGCTCCTCTCTCCACCATTTTAATCATAGTAGTGGCCCCTGTAGAGTCGCAGATTTTTCTGTCTGCCCAATTCATTATGGTTAAGAAGGTTATATGTGAATAGGTCGGTCTTCCTTCCCTCTCTAGATCCCCCCATACTACTCTTGGACAATTTGGTAATGTTTGCCACCATATATACTTGAGACTATTGAAGGCTAGCCCTTTACGTTATCAAATTTCTTCTTATTCTGCTCTAAAGTCAATCACTTGATCCTACTAGGGCTCCAATATTTTGGCAAACTTTTTTTATTTTTTTATTTTTTCTTAGTTGGTACTCACACACACATCTCTCCACTGAGACTTTAACCGCTGACTTCCTTTGAAAAGTAAGAGTATAATACGTTAGGTCACTTGCTCGTTAGTTTTTGTCAAACTTCTATAAAACAAAGTTCAAATCTTTTTGGTTGGAGCTTGGGCATGGGGGAGAGATGTTTCATAGGGTGGTATGCCAAAAATCTCAACTTCTCGCCCTATTTATGTTGCGAAAATACCATAATAAATTTATATTTTATTAAAGATATTTTAAAATATAGTACTTGAGTATCTTATTAAATATAGTATTTGAGTTTCTTGATTCTCTAAGGGGAGGGAAGCCATAATTGTATCTTGTAGAGTTGATAGACGAGTATTATGTTACTTATCAATATATATATATATATATATATATATATATATATATATATATATATACATACATACATACATAAGAGTATTCTGTTAAATATGTCTCTCGAATATAATTTGTTTAATAATCGTGTCAGGACCTTTGAATATGATTTTTTTAATAATGGTCTGATTTGTTTAACAAGTTTAATGGCACCACTTGTTTAATGACATGTTTAACCCATTTAAATTAAATGGGTTGTATAACTCGTTTATTAACTCAATTATAAAATTTAAATATAATGAAAAAGTTTAGATAATGAAGGACTAAATTCATGAAAATGAGACTACTCTACAATAGATATAAAAAAACCCAAAGGAGTTAAGTGGTATCTTGGGTTGGGTACTTCGCAATCAGACTTGGTGAGACAAAATAAATAAATATATAAAAAGAGACTAAGTTGTGCGAGACGGTATTGATATGCTTGTATAGCAAAATTCTTTGTGCCCATTGCCATGTGACAGAGAGACAATTTTGAAAGTGAAAGGAGAGTTATTTTAGAATGAATTGTCTTACTGAATAATTTTTAATTGATTATTTAGATTAAATGTAACTAATTGAGAGTTTTACTTCTTTATTTGTTATATAATTGACCAATTTAAAAAATAAGTCTTATAATTTACTGTACCAATTTGGTGCAAGAATCATTTTCTTTTTAGAATACCTCAATGTAATTTTTTCTTTTCTTCTCTATTTGCTTAAAACTTTAACATAGGATTTTGAGAATTAAAACCCGAGGGCCAAATCCAATAGGGGTACACCGATGCCATATGTTTTTGGACCCTCCTTGATTCTCTATATCATCAGGTCATACTTTAAAATTTAAACCCAACTGGCCTGTACACAATACTTGCTTTAGTTAAAATGGATAGGGTCGATCACGGGAATATGCTTGTACTGGTACAAATGCAATCTCTGCCTTATTATTATATTATTTATTTATGTGATCAAATGGAATCCCACAACTACACAATATACCACAAAGAACACTCTCTCTGCTCTATCCATTGTGATTTGATTTTATTTGGATCTCTTCATATCTTTTTATGAATTATTGTCTTACTAAGGAAATTCAACATGTCTAAATATATGGCGGCTCACAAGGTGTTAAACCAGTTGACATATAAATAGGGCGTAGAGGAAGAAAATGAGATAGATTCCATTTGATTGCTTGATTTCACGGGTTGTTTAATTATTATATTATTAGAATAGTTGTGTCATCTAATAGGCTTAAATTCCAATGTTGACCAATTACAAAAAAAAACCAAAGAAAAGGAAATGACAGGTGACAGAGAATAAGACAAGAATGTAATATGATTGTTCATGAAATTGGACTGCGTGACTGTCCAATTTCAGTTTCATCCATAAATTATTTTAAAATTTATTTAATGTAACAAATAAGGAGAATTATATTGTATCATCGACAATATAATTCTCCTTATATATGTATTCTGTGTAGAAAGATTTGGATCCTCGTCTGCCTTATCTCTAAACAAAATATCTAGCCCTTGTTGAAATTAAATCTGACGGTTGAAAATGTGTCACGTCATAATTTCCTTAATAATATAATTCACACGGTTATGAATAATGACTCTCTGCGTCTAATTCGGATTTGTAAAGCTCCTCTCTCCACCATTTTAATCATAGTAGTGGCCCTGTAGAGTCGCAGATTTTTCTGTCTGCCCAATTCATTATGGTTAAGAAGGTTGTATGTGAGTAGGTCGGTCTTCCTTCCCTCTTTAGATCCCCCCATACTACTCTTGGACAATTTGGTAATGTTTGCCACCATATATACTTGAGACTATTGAAGGCTAACCTTTAAGTTATCAAATTTCTTCTTATTCTGCTCTAAAGTCAATCACTCGATCCTACTAAGGCTCCAATATTTTTGGCAAACTTTTTTTATTTTTATTTTTTCTTAGTTGGTACTCATACACACATGTCTCCATGGAGACTTTAACCATTGACTTCCTTTGAAAAGTAAGAATATAATATCGCTAGGTCACTTACTCGTTGATTTTTGTCAAACTTCTATAAAACAAAGTTCAAATCTTTTTGGTTGGAGCTTGGGCATGGGGGAGAGATGTTTCATAGGGTGGTATGCCAAAAATCTTAACTTCTCGCCCTATTTATGTTGCAAAAATACCATAATAAATTTATATTTTATTAAAGATATTTTAAAATATAGTACTTGAGTTTCTTATTAAATTTAGTATTTGAGTTTCTTGATTCTCTAAGGGGAGGGAAGCCATAATTGTATCTTGTAGAGTTGATAGATGAGTATTCTGTTACTTATCAAAATATATATATATATATATATATATACATACATGAGTATTTTGTTAAATACGTCTCTTGAATATAATTTGTTTAATAATCGTGTCAGGACCTTTGAATATGATTTGTTTAATGGTCTGATTTGTTTAACAAGTTTAATGACACCACTTGTTTAATGACATATTTAACCCATTTAAATTAAATGGGTTGTATAACTCGTTTATTAACTCAATTATAAAATTTATATATAATAAAAAAGTTTAAATAATGAAGGACTAAATTCATGAAAATGAGACTACTCTACAATAGATATAAAAAAAACCCAAAGGAGTTAAGTGAGTGGTATCTTGGGTTAGACTACTCTACAATAGATATAAAAAAATCCAAAGGAGTGAAGTGGTATCTTGGGTTGGGTACTTCGCAATCAGACTCGGTGAGACAAAATAAATAAATATATAAAAAGAGACTGAGTTGTGCGAGACGGTATTGATATGCTTGTATAGCAAAATTCTTCGTGCCCATCGCCATGTGACAAAGAGACAATTTTGAAGGTGAAAGGAGAGGTATTTTAGAATGACAAAGAGACTCATACTGAACATTTACAGTCTCACTGAATAATTTTTAATTGGGTATTCATACCAAGTGCAACTAATTGAGAGTCTTACTTCTTTATTTGTTACATAATTGACTAATTTAAAAGATAAGTCTAACAATTTACTGTAACAATTTGGTGCAAGAATCATTTTTCTTTTAGAATACCTCAATGTAATTTTTTCTTTTCTTCTCTATTTGCTTAAAACTTTAACATAGGATTTTGAGAATTAAAACCCAAGGGCCAAATCCAATAGGGGTACACCAATGCCATATGTTTTTGGTATATCATCAGGTCATATTTTAAAATTTAAACCCAACTGGCCTGTACACAACACTTGCTTTAATTAAAATGGATAGGGTCGATCACGGGAATGTACTGGTACAAATGCAATCTCTGCCTTATTATTATATTATTTTTTTATGTGATCAAATGGAATCCCACAACTACACAATATACCACAAAGAACACTCTCTCTGCTCTATCCATTGTGATTTGATTTTATTTGGATCTCTTCATATCTTTTTATGAATTATTGTCTTACTAAGGAAATTCAACATGTCTAAATATATGGCGGCTCACAAGGTGTTAAACCAGTTGACATATAAATAGGGCGTAGAGGAAGAAAATGAGATAGATTCCATTTGATTGCTTGATTTCACGGGTTGTTTAATTATTATATTTTTAGAATAGTTGTGTCATCTAATAGGCTTAAATTCCAATGTTGACCAATTCCAAAAAAAAACAAAGAAAAGGAAATGACAGGTGACAGAGAATAAGACAAGAATGTAATATGATTGTTCATGAAATTGGACTGCGTGACTGTCCAATTTCAGTTTCATCCATAAATTATTTTAAAATTTATTTAATGTAACAAATAAGGAGAATTATATTGTATCATCGACAATATAATACTCCTTATATATGTATTCTGTGTAGAAAGATTTGGATCCTCGTCTGCCTTATCTCTAAACAAAATATCTAGCCCTTGTTGAAATTAAATCTGACGGTTGAAAATGTGTCACGTCATAATTTCTTTAATAATATAATTCACACGGTTATGAATAATGACTCTCTGCGTCTAATTCGGATTTGTAAAGCTCCTCTCTCCACCATTTTAATCATAGTAGTGGCCCTGTAGAGTTGCAGATTTTTCTGTCTGCCCAATTCATTATGGTTAAGAAGGTTGTATGTGAGTAGGTCGGTCTTCCTTCCCTCTTTAGATCCCCCCATACTACTCTTGGACAATTTGGTAATGTTTGCCACCATATATACTTGAGACTATTGAAGGCTAACCCTTTAAGTTATCAAATTTCTTCTTATTCTGCTCTAAAGTCAATCACTCGATCCTACTAAGGCTCCAATATTTTTGGCAAACTTTTTTTATTTTTATTTTTTCTTAGTTGGTACTCATACACACATGTCTCCACGGAGACTTTAACCGTTGACTTCCTTTGAAAAGTAAGAATATAATACCGCTAGGTCACTTACTCGTTGATTTTTGTCAAACTTCTATAAAACAAAGTTCAAATCTTTTTGGTTGGAGCTTGGGCATGGGGGAGAGATGTTTCATAGGGTGGTATGCCAAAAATCTTAACTTCTCGCCCTATTTATGTTGCAAAAATACCATAATAAATTTATATTTTATTAAAGATATTTTAAAATATAGTACTTGAGTTTCTTATTAAATATAGTATTTGAGTTTCTTGATTCTCTAAGGGGAGGGAAGCCATAATTGTATCTTGTAGAGTTGATAGATGAGTATTCTGTTACTTATCAAAAAAAAATATATATATATATATATATACATACATGAGTATTTTGTTAAATACGTCTCTTGAATATAATTTGTTTAATAATCATGTCAGGACCTTTGAATATGATTTGTTTAATGGTCTGATTTGTTTAACAAGTTTAATGACACCACTTGTTTAATGACATATTTAACCCATTTAAATTAAATGGGTTGTATAACTCGTTTATTAACTCAATTATAAAATTTATATATAATAAAAAAGTTTAAATAATGAAGGACTAAATTCATGAAAATGAGACTACTCTACAATAGATATAAAAAAAACCCAAAGGAGTTAAGTGAGTGGTATCTTGGGTTAGACTACTCTACAATAGATATAAAAAAATCCAAAGGAGTGAAGTGGTATCTTGGGTTGGGTACTTCGCAATCAGACTCGGTGAGACAAAATAAATAAATATATAAAAAGAGACTGAGTTGTGCGAGACGGTATTGATATGCTTGTATAGCAAAATTCTTCGTGCCCATCGCCATGTGACAAAGAGACAATTTTGAAGGTGAAAGGAGAGGTATTTTAGAATGACAAAGAGACTCATACTGAACATTTACAGTCTCACTGAATAATTTTTAATTGGGTATTCATACCAAGTGCAACTAATTGAGAGTCTTACTTCTTTATTTGTTACATAATTGACTAATTTAAAAGATAAGTCTAACAATTTACTGTAACAATTTGGTGCAAGAATCATTTTTCTTTTAGAATACCTCAATGTAATTTTTTCTTTTCTTCTCTATTTGCTTAAAACTTTAACATAGGATTTTGAGAATTAAAACCCAAGGGCCAAATCCAATAGGGGTACACCAATGCCATATGTTTTTGGTATATCATCAGGTCATATTTTAAATTTTAAACCCAACTGGCCTGTACACAACACTTGCTTTAATTAAAATGGATAGGGTCGATCAAATGCAATCTCTGCCTTATTATTATATTATTTTTTTATGTGATCAAATGGAATCCCACAACTACACAATATACCACAAAGAACACTCTCTCTGCTCTATCCATTGTGATTTGATTTTATTTGGATCTCTTCATATCTTTTTATGAACTATTGTCTTACTAAGGAAATTCAACATGTCTAAATATATGATGGCTCACAAGGTGTTAAACCAGTTGACATATAAATAGGGCGTAGAGGAAGAAAATGCGATAGATTCCATTTGATTGCTTGATTTCACGGGTTGTTTAATTATTATATTTTTTAGAATAGTTGTGTCATCTAATAGGCTTTAATTCCAAAGTTGACCAATTCCAAAAAAACAGAAAGAAAAGGAAATGACAGGTGACAGAGAATAAGACAAGAATGCAATATGATTGTTCATGAAATTGGACTGCGTGACTGTCCAATTTCAGTTTCATCCATTAATTATTTTAAAATTTATTTAATGTAACAAATAAGGAGAATTATATTGTGGACAATATAATTCTACTTATATATGTATTCAGTGTAGAAAGATTTGGATCCTCGTCTGCCTTATCTCTAAACTAAATATTTAGCCCTCGTTGAAATTAAATGGTTGAAAAGGTGTCACGTCATAATTCTCTTAACAATATAATTCACACACTTATGAATAATGACACAAAGTAAATTGTAAGTGCTGCCGAGGATTTTTTTTTACTAATTCAGAGAGTGATTTGGTTGTAGATAGAATTTCAACTTGTGGGTCCAAGTGATCCAACATCATGTGGGCATGAACAAATTGAGTTGCCAAAATCAATTCAAACAACCAGACACATACATGCACACATATATAAAGAGAAAATTAAGTATGACATTGATAATGAAAAACAAAAAAAAAAACAAAATTCCATTTGATTAAATATCTCACCATGATATTCGTTTATCATAGGGATTCCCTAAAAAAAAAAATCATAATACAATGAAAGATGATACATCTACAAAACAAGTAAAAAACCCAGGTAGTTGATCCAAATCTATTGAAATATGATGGAGCTACCAGACTCTTACACCTTGAACTAGTGTTGGTCACTTGATTGATCCCTCCTCTATTATATGTATGTATATGTGTATGTATATATCTAAGAGCTCACGTTGCAGCTTCCGGATTTGGACTTGTCCAAAATTGACCACATCACCTGAACATCCTCATAAGCACATGCCATCACCTCACCATGCAGATCCATCACACGATTCTCATCCCCTACATATACATACATTAATTAATTAGAGGATTCACATCAACCACAATTGAATGCATATATATATATATATATATATCTATGTGTGTGTGTGAGATACTAGTGTACGTACACATACATACCTTGTTGAGACTTCTTATTATCCCTGGGCTGCTGGTGATTGAAGAAAGTACAAGCTTTTCTGAATGGAGAAGTGATTGTTCTAACCCAGGAAGTCATTCTTCTTCTTCTTCTATATATGATGTCTATCTCTCTCCAAGCTCTCTCTTTCTCTCAATGGCTTTCTACTTTCACCTACATATATATATATATATAGGTATGACTAATTGCGACTTGGGAGTAATATAATATATATATATAGAGAGAGAGAGAGAGAGAGAGAGTAGAAAGAGAGAGGAAGGAGGGCGGCAACATCCGTGAGATGAGCTTTGATGGGTAATATATGTTGAGTTATGAGTCTCTCTCTCTCTCTCTCTTTCTTTCTCTCTCCTCTTGTTATTGGGTGAGTAGTACTTACTGCAGTGAGCACATGGCGCATGCTCCCAAACAGACCTTACACGTGAAGTGAAACCCTTTCCTTTGTTTTCAATGTGACGTTAACCCACAAGCTTAGATATGTTTTGATATATAGATATATGGATAATATAGCCCACTCCTTCAATGTCATATATGGTCCCCTGCTGCCCCATATAAGTTTAGGGACACCCTTTTCCTCCATCATATTATTATCCACGTTCACTTTACTACTCCTGTTTTATCTATCCAGGCCCAGTAGGTCTAGCATGTCATGTCATATTCATAATCAATCAAAATTTAACATTTCGTATGGCACGTCATTACTCTTTTTAGTCAATAAAAATGGCATATTACTACATTCATTACCCACTTCACTTTAGTACTACTGTTTTGGTATTTTTATTCAATAAAAATGGCATATCTATCACCCGTCTCCTTTGGGACTGGGTCTAGGGTGAATCGAATATGTTTTTGGTACTTTTGGCCAAGAAAAATATATTTTCTTTGTTTTGCAGAGACGGTGACTTATGAAATTATGAATCACAATTTTTAAAATGAACAAGTATTATAAGACAGAGGAGTAACATTTTGTAAAATTGATGCAATCCACTTATAAATACAGCTTACAACAATTTGAATGGTGTATTTTCGTACCACATGCTCCCGCTCAACCTAAATCCACTCGCTAAATTATAATTATATAAATTCTACTAAATTTTTTTTTATTTAGTAAATTATGGGAAGAAAAACTCGAACACGGATACACTAATTCGAAGAGCTGAACACTTTACCATTGGTAAAGCAATATAGATCAATTGACTTCCTTTTCATGTGTATTTGTATTAGCACTAGTTTGATAATAATATAAACACCCTTTATATAAGTTTCAAACAATTTGGAAGGTTTTAGTATTTGTGCACCATAGACCAGCCCTGATTTTCTGTCATATTTCATGTGCCATTCACATGGTCTCACTGGGGAAGATGACCTTGTAACTCTGCCATATGAATGTGGGCTCAGCATGTTCTTCTGACACAGTAGTGTATATATATATATATATATGAGATGAAGCATATTAATGTTACTAATTAATTATCCACTCATACATACATGCATGTATTAGTTCTATGATTACTGCAGTTGGTGTCAATCATGGTTGGAATATATATATTACAATTAATGTACTTGAAGTGACATATTTAATTAGATTGTAACATCGATTTATCATTTTCATGCAACATTACATAATCTCTTCTCACACGGTCTTCAATGTTTTGTGCAGCATTTAAAGTAAAATAAAGATGTATGCCCACAGAACAAGGAATGGTTTCAAGTCAAGGTTTTACATTCCTTGAACTCATAAATTCCATAATTTTATAACAACTTATATGCATATATGTGTGTATATATATATAATAGTTATGCTTGAGCATATGGTATAATTAATTTAACTTTCATCTGGGGAGATGTAGTGGTACATCCCTTGTTATGCTGCTTGGTTAAACTAATTCTTGCTCATGCCATTAATTCACACACACACACATATATATACACACACACTTGGGTTAGTTTATTCGTTTTCACATTCTGAAAACCTGACAATCGGTCAGGGACATGTTTTTGTAGTAAAACCATCTTCAGATGAATAAAAAGTGTTAATTGCAACAACAGAATAGATGCTTGTTGGGTAGGTTTCCCACGTGAGAAGATAATTTATAATATACCATATTTATCGCATAATAAACTACTCCCGCTTCTTGTATTTCATTTTTCTAAACTTTTATTGCAGTATTATTTTAGTAGTTTTTTTATGTTATATTTGGAAGTATCGAATTAAAAATTTAAAATAAAAATAAAAATAAAATTATTAAAATTTTGAACTAAATATCTTCCTATTCTTAATTTAAAGCAACAATTCTTCCTTTCTAAACTAACATCGTTTTATTCAATTCATTAGGAATTTTTTTTTTTGACAAATAAGCCAAGTCTCTTATTATAGCATTGTCACTCATTATTTTTTCAGGTCCGATAAAGTTTTTTTATGTGGTTTGATTAAATAGATAACAAATTAGTAATAAACCGAAAAATTCGAGTTTCTATCTCATTCAATAGAACATTCAATTCATTAAGTTGTTCCACAATTCGAAAATAGCAGCTCATTTCCTGATCTGAAAGACATAATTGGCTTCACACTTGTTTTCCAATATATATATATATATATATATATATAACATAATGTTTTCCACTTTGAATGTGGTCTTTTTGCAACTGTCTAGATTGGAACAAAATTATAATGGTCCCTTCTCCAACCACTAGTCCCACCAATATATTATGAGCCTTTTTGGAAACTGTTTCGATTTTATATGAATTAAAAGTAATGTTTTTATTGTGCTGTCATTTATTTGGAAACAAAAACATGTTTAATAACTTTATTCCACAATGTTTAAAAAAAAAAAAAAAAAAAAAAAAAAAAAGAAAGAAAGAAAAAATCTAACATTATATTGGCGTTTTTAAAAGAATTTAGCTCTACAGTTGTTCAACTACAACAATAGCACCCGAAATATTAATTTTTGGTAAAATTTGATAAATGCTACCAAACATATTTTCATATTTTCATCATTTGATAACAAAAATAGGAAGCAAAAACAGTGTATATATTAATGACATTATAATATACTCAGTTCTCTTTGACAATTACGGAAAGGACTAAGCCGTATTAAATTAATTTATATGTATAAACAAATGTTATGTAAATTAAGCACAATACATTCACTCGTTTCCGAGAAAAAAAAAAAAAAAAAATCCAAATAATACAAGAGTTAAATATTTAGTACATTACGTCACCCAATACATGAAATTTTATATAAAAATCATATAAATACTCAAATGACAGCAACACATAAATGATACCAGAGTTCGCTTCGATCTCTGTTGTAATCCTCACTGACACAATAATTTTTAACACATTATAATTGTTTATTTGAATGTAAAATTATTATTTCTTAAAAAAAAATCTCTTTTTACAGTTCTTAAAAAATGGACATTTTTGTTTGGAATAGAGGGAATATTTGTTTATTTTGGGTAAAATGCAAAAAACAATTGAAAATAACCTCTTTGAAAGTATTTTTTATACTATATATATATATATATATATATATATATATATTTTAAATGAAGTATAATGAGTTTTATTATAATAAATTAATCATTTTAGAAAATAATAGCTACTAATTTATTTATTATTTTCTATTTTTATGATAAATTGATAGTAATTATAAAATTAAGGTAAATAGTGTAATTAATTTTTGAATAAAAGAAAATATAATAAGAAATAACAATTTTAATAAAAAGTGATAAAAGAGTCTTTTGTGATGAGTTTGTCCTTAATTGTAACAAACTAAAAGTTTAGAAGGATAATTTTTAATTCAGGAGAGTTATTTGTAAAAGGACAATATTTGAGGGGATTTTTTTTTTTGTGTATTTTATCCTTTATTTTTTTTTATGTTTGGTTGTCCAGAAAATATTTATAAAGAAAATAAATATTAAAACTTAATAAAAATAATTTACCTTATTTTACATATTTTGTCCAATAAATTTGATAAAAAATAAAAATACTTTACAAGAAAAAAAAAATAGAAAATTCAAGTGGAAGAATGGTAAGGACGCGTACTGTGTTACGTAGCCAGAGAGAGACAAAAACTGCCCGTCCCAAACAATGGTTTTACGCGACCTTTCTAAATACTACAATAATTAAAGAAAAAAAAAACACGTACAATAATTGAATGCAAGTGTCCGTCTTGTCCACACAACGTGCCCCTTGTCTCTTTAAAGTCAAGTAAGTGGTCCCTACAATTTAGTTATGTTCTCTTGGGTTTATGTGTGTGTAATATATAAATATATATATGGTTCATTAATTCAGTGTCGGTCCCTTTTTGTTTTGGTAGGATTCATTTTTAGTTAATATATGAGCCAAAACCATGTAGTAAGTGTACTGTTAACTATTTTATTAGAACAGGAATTTAAAAGGACACGGGCATTCCACGTTATATGTTAATTATAAGTTACCCGGTGCAAAAATTGTTAATTGATTTAGTTGTTATTAAAATTTTAAATGATCTAGATAAGATTATTAAATTAATTTATTTAATTTTTATAATTGATTAAATTACTCACAATATGATTAATTAAACATCTATAATCACAAAAATAAACCTTAAAAAGTAAAGCAAGTAAAGTTAGAGAGATGATACTAAGATTTTAGCGAGAAAATTAATTGGAAAAACCTTGGGATTTTGTGTGCAAGCGTAAAAAGATCCATTATGTATGAAACAATATACGCCGAACTCTGACTTAGACTCGAACCCCTTCGCTCTACCTAGACTCAATCTGCTAAATGTCTCTGATTTTGTGACTTCTTGTCCAACAGCTCTTGATGCCTTGAACCTTGTAGAAAGGTTGCTGGTAGATCAATAACACTCTGTAAGTGCTTTGATCCCTTTAAAGTGTGATCTGAAAATTCCTTTTATCTGAATCTAAATTTGATGTAGAAGAAGTAGATATGCTTTTTAGAAATTCTGAATCTTCAATTATGCTCCAATTTTGATGAAATAGAGAACATTACATCTAAATCACTCATGTATATATATGTGTGTGTTGATCATATGGACCTAATCCAAATACAATCTATTGATTTTGATGATAATAAACCATTAATAGGGTTCATATACTAATGTCTTCATTGAGTTTAAATGAAAGGTAAAATGAATGACTTTCCGTGGAGGCAAACAAGGTCATTTCCAAGGAAAGCAAGGAACTCAGCATCAAAGAAAGAAATGTTTAAGAAAATCAAAAGCAACAAAGAATCAATCATTTAATTGCAAAAGACATTTAAGTACCTCATGACCAAC